AGCTATCTCCAAAAACAAGCTCAAAGGACCCCATAAGAAAGACCACCCTGCCATTGAGGGGCAAAATGAGGGGAGGGGGGCAAGAGGCAAGGCAGATCGTCCTGGCTGGCTATCTGGAAGTCCCGAAGGAGGGGGGTCCCCTTCCCTCCATTCTATCCTCGTAGGGCCCAGGAGCCTGTCACTGTCACCTCGCTTCACCGCCGTCAAAGCAAACGACTGCGCCATAGCATCAGATCATCAAACCATCAGATTATGATGAGGATGTAGATCGCAAGTACAGTGACAAGAACGTCTTCAAGGTGAGGGATATAGAGAGAGGGGGGAAGGGCGAAGGGGCAGAAAAATGACCAACGTTGTTGGTTTGGCATTTACCGAAACCGAGAACGGACACGGCCGCGCCGCACTCGTTGTTCCAGCCAGCCATTTGTATCATACCACCAACCGCACCTCGGTCAGGCTGAAAGGCCTCTTCAGCTCAAGACAAGCTAGAGCGTGCCCAAGAGTCTGTTCGGAAGCCTCGCAACAGCATCCGGGTCTAATCCACAAAAGGGGTTCAACGCCGTAAAGACCAAGAAAGCGAGCGATGCAGCACCCAACCTAGCCCTCACCGTCTCACTCTGAGAAACTCAGGGTCTTCTCCGGCATATGGGGTAGTGGTGTGTGAGAGTAGACACAAGATGGTCCCCCGTGTGGTAAGCCCGTAAGGGTTGTGTGGGGGAACGAGGGGGCGGTGTAATCTATTGCTCACTCACCTTGCCCATCACCACAGAAAAAGCTCACCATGCAAAAGAGTCGCCATCCCGCGCCAGGATACCAGTTCCACGCCCTCGGTTTTCATGGCGAGTTCCAGGCCCAAAAGAGTGATGACCCGGCATAACGGCACCTCTTACGCAGGCGACGGGAAAGAAGAGGGGATTACCCAAGAATTGCCCCGTGCTTTGTGGGTTCTTGACTTCATGGTCCTCCGAGAAGGGGATCCCGTTGATCCAACGGGCGTAGCCGCCGGAGCGGGATTCCAAAGGAAGAAGAGGGAACCGGTCAATCATCCCAACTTCTCCCCTTCGTTATCAAGCTTTCCTCTGCCAGACCCCGAGTGCCAAGTTAGACAGAGACCGTAAGGTACGACGAACTCGATCACGTCAGGAGACCGTAGCTCCATCGGGCTTTGCAGGGAGCCCCCGTGTGTTACTGTTGAGGGGAAAAAGTCCGTGGTAATCGTCCACATCGGCGACGGTGAGATGACAAATCCGCGTTTTGCACCGATTGCACCGGCGCCGATTAGTCGTCCATCGCTCGGACGAATGGTGTAGTCCACATTATGCTTACCACGCAGGAATGAACCACCACTCGGCGGCTTTTCCTTGAGATTCGGAATAACTTCACAGACTCCACGCCGCGCGTGAGACCTCCGCCAAACTTCCGCCCAGCGCCAATGTCACCAGCCCAAGCAACAATTCCACCGCGATGGACCTTCTCGCGCGTCGTCCTACCCTCTTTGCCTTGGTACGGTGCTACCTTGATGATTAAGTGAACCTTTGGCTTTCGGATATACGCCCGAAACCGAAGCTCCGCGCCCAATCGCGGAGGAAAAGCGGAGTAGAATCCAAACCCTACTGTCCGCACCCCGGACCCCGGCCAAGCCCGCGGGCCGGGGATAGGACAAGATGAAGGCCGTGAAACCATGTAAGCGGCCAAAGACCCATTCCCTGCCGTGGTCCATGTGAATAAACCACATCCAAACGCAAATGAACGCTTACCAAAAAGCCTCGCGCTTGGTACCAGCATATATCCCTGTGAACGACGTCGCATCCCCAATCGCTGCCGCTTAACCTTATTTCTTCCACACCGTCACCCCTTTTTTTTGACGCGCGCTGTACCATGGAGACGGAGACGGCGGTGCGCCGACTATTTCGTTGTGACCGGGGTGGCCAATTTTTCGCACTTCTGTTTTGCCGTGCCAAGAAAGGATGAACCGCGACTCGCGCGCGCCGAATCCCCAACATCGTGAATAGACTTTTCTAAACGTACTGAACTCCTTTTCGAGTCCCAGTCACCGCTCCCGCCCGCCCGCCCACTTCCCTTTACGGAGGCAGGTCCGATTCTCGATCTTCAATGCTAGATAGGCGGACTGTAGGCGTAGCCCCCAACTTCGTCTGAATTTTAAGTTTCCTCTCTTGAAAGGTGAGATTGTCGACATGTTGAAAGGCCTGTATTCGAGTCAATAAGCTTTCTCAGAGTTTGGCATAGGGTGAACCAGTAATTAGCCCACTTCCCCTCCAGATCCAGCGATGTTCCGCGTTGGTAGAAGATAACATTTGACTCTAGGAAGTCGTTGCTCACTCCAAGTCATTGTGGCTAGGCCATGGCCTCCCCACTGTGATCAATCTCCAACCTGGTGACACGCACGACACAAGCTGCGGGCGTTGACGAGCGCCATCACCTGCGTAGATTGGGATGTCAAACAGCCTATGAGACTGAGGTTGAAGAGACGATGCCGCCATCAAGCCGGTATTCTTATCAAACTGGTGGCCTTGTGTTCAGGAGGCATATCTGCTGCTGACGTGGGATTGAACGAGCCCCAATCTCTGTTTGGCTTATTCCTCTGATCAAGATGGAGAGTTTTGTGGCCGGTGACTGGACGGCAGTACGGATACCATAGGTCGAGTAATCGCGTCTTCCGTCCGGCGGGTAATCTCTGTACACCTGTTATTGAGACTTGGGCAGAAGATCTGCATTAGCCTCATTTCACTGCCTGCTGCTGGTAAGCTGACAGGCTTCGCGATTCAACCGGCGCCCCTCCACCCTGTCCATCAACAGCGAACGTTATTTTTGGGCAAATTGCAACTCTACAAAGGTGATTAAGGTGCTGATGACGAGAAGTAATCGTTGCTTAGCGTGACCCAAACGACTGGCATTGAGTTTGCCAACGCGACGTCGGGCCTTTTGGAGTCTCTGTGACCACGGGCTTGCAAGTGTGCGGAGACTTTGTCTGTTAGCACGCCACGGGTCTGCCAATGACTGATCACTGAGGGCAGTGACACATCGCGATGCCGATCTCCCAGTATCCAGCGTAGGATTGTTCGATGCCAATCCAAAAGCAGGCAATTGCAAGCATCCAATACTGCAATTCGAGAAATTGTCGTGTCTTATGAGATGGTGAGTGGGCAGAACTTTTGGCCTTAAAACGCCACCTGACTCAACTTCCATGCGAGACGGGGAACATTCTCGTCTGTCAGACTGACTGTGGCGCCTCGGATTTGGCAATATCAGGCAATATTTGGAATGAAAGCCCCTGTTACAATGACAGTTATTAGATAACCACCGGTGACACACTTATTGAGACTGGGTTTACCTCTAAATGGGATACATTTGTTGGCAGCGTCTTGCGTGTATAGGCCGCCTGGAGCCCGATATTGCGATAATCGCAATGTCCGCGTTAAGGTTTCCGTGGGTTTTGATATGAGGACGGCAGGGCCGTAAAGTTTTCCGCAGTCCAGAGCATTGCGCGATGCTTTTTGTGGCCGTCATCTGATGGTCAGGTGAAGGGGTATTCAAAGATGAAACCGATTGGTGGTCCTTTGAGGAAGGCACCTTTCAGATGTTAGTTCGTCGACATCGTTCCGCTACCGCGCTTGGCGTAGTGACACCGTCTAACAGAGCCCATCGCGCTAAGCCTTGGGGAGATCCACGACGGGGTTTTCTTCCATGGCGGACAGGTGCCATTCTGGGGAGTAACATGAAGAGACTTGAGGAGACTTGGGTAAAGTCACTCGAAGTCGACTCAGGTATCAACATATCTTGTTCAATCCAGATTGCTGCGCCAACAACATTGGCATAGGCCTAGACCACCCCCAAGGCCGCAAAAGCGGTGCAATTTCACAGACCCCCTCCAGGTACGAATACAAGGCTTAGGGCGGGGTTCAGAGGTTGGCATGACATGGTGGTCGTGGTGTGGTTTGACAGGGAAAAGCATAACGATGTCTGCTCTCAGCGTTATGGTGAATGACGAGATGCCAATACGGCGTGTGCAGAGCGCCAAGAGAGACACGGCCACCCGATTTGGGGGCAAATGGTCGGCCAAGACGTTAAAATGGAGTTGGCGAGGAGCTCTTGATTCGACAATAGCTAATCAAGGTTAAAACATGCTCGCCCAGCTAGTAGGTATTGCTTGGGGCTGGTTTTCTGGGGGTGCCAACCGGAGTACCTAGAGCCACATTGTGATAGCCTGCAATCTACAAGCAGTGAACTCGTGCCTTGGCTGGCAGAAGTGCCCCTCGACAAGTTTCGTAAACTTCGCATCGTGCAATGGTTGGTGAGAACGGCTGCTCGGCATGGCTTTGCTGATAGCCTGAGATTGACAGCGATGGCATCGGTCGCAGATTCGTAGAAAGACCACGGTCAGTCGCACCACGAGAGCGAAAACGAGGACAGGTGAGGTCTATGCGAGGAATGCGAGATAGGTGAGGCGTTCCCAAGTTTCCTAGAGCAGAACAGGCATGGGCAGATACGCCAATACGCGTGTTGAGTTGCGGGGAAGCGGATAGGGCCACAGCTCAGCCACTTTTCAGCCAACTGAACCTAATTGCCCAGGGCAGGGCCTTGGCGCCTAAAGAGAGGAGAGAAAAAGTACGAAGTACGACGTATGCAGGCAATCTTGGTCGAAGAAGCCGTAGGAAAAGGGCTGTGAACGTGGTTGGCAGGAGTCAGTTGTTGGAGGTGAGTGCAGTACATAGTAGCTACTCTGGATGAATACTCCTTACAGCAAATGGTGGGAAAGAGAGACGTACCTTGAAAGTCGTTCTGAAGTAGACCTGTCCGGGCCAATCATGGACCTTTGCTGCGTTCTGTGCATTTCAAGCTCCCGTACTCCGTAGTCCAAACCCGTCTCTCTGGATGCAACTCCAAAGTTCCCATGCGTGAGTACTGCCTGTGGTCTACTGTGTACCTGCCAACATCAGGTATATGCGCTGGACGGTTTCGGAAAGTACGAGGCGTGCAGGATGGCTCTCTGCTCCTCCAACCTCCGGATACTAATGCGGGAATACGCGCACACTCTTACGGTGTACACTACCACCATGGGTCAAGAGCGAGCCAGCTGTTCCAGGGTCCTGTGTCCCTTTGCGGGCGAAACCAGCAGCTGAACCCCGGGAGGATCGACGGAGGAATATGAGCTTACGACCATGAGTAGGAGCAAAGGTAGGGAGAGGAATAGGACCAAAGCACCTCCTCCATGATCCCACCTGCAGGCAGGCTGCATAGTACATACTGTACTCCGTACGGAGTAGTACGTACAGACTGCACGCAGCGCAACCTCGCGCAGTCCTTCCTTGCTAAGCTCCTCGGGCCCGAGGAACATCCGCCCCTGCGAAGTCAACCTACCATCAACCCTCCATCACAACTTCAGAACTTCATCAGCCCATCGGATCGCCTACCTATCAACATCAACACACGAGACCCCGCCAGGCAGCGACTACACTACTGCGTACACTACGGCAACGCATGCACACGACACCGGAATTGACGTGGAGACAAGATGCGAAATGCCAAATGCGAAATGTGGCCCTGACAGATCCTTGATTCCTTGGTCAATGTACGCGTGAAGAAAACCATCCCGGAGGACACAGTTCACGTGCACTCCCGCAACCACCCGCCACAGCCCCTTTACCATTTGGACCTTACGAGTTCATTCCTACGGGGGATACGGAGTACACCATAGTGACCATACGGTATTACGGATACCTTGACGGATGCTACACCATCGTCAATGGCTGCCATTGAGTCTTGACCGATTGACGGTTGGTACTCCCTACTCACTGGGCGCTCGCAGATGCCAACCTATTCAAAGACGTGTCCTGAGTCTTGGCTCCTCGCCGGACGGAATTTGATGCCAAGCTGCTATTAGACAAGGACCCTAGAGGACACCGACTCTCTGGCACTCGGCCGTCGTCACGCACCGGCGCTCCGAGCCCGCGGACTGCGTTTCCAAGAATACCAAGCAAGCCAAGACAAGCGCCAATCAAACGCATATCCATTTTGCATTCTCCAAACAAGCGCGCCTTATTCTAAAATACCAATGGACTGGGCGCAGAAATTTTCACCTTGTTTCTGCCCCCAAATCTGCCCAGTATCATATTCTTAACCTCGAACCCTAAAAGCCCACCCCCAACTAGACGGGTCCAAACCGATGGGTATTGCGCAAATTGAAAGCCCTCGGCGGCCCTCCACACCCCGGCCGCTCCATGGCGGCGATGACGGCGATGGAGATACGGCGTATATGTGCATTAGGGCCCGATGGACCCCCAGCTCGGCACCGCGAGCTGCCGAGGCTTGCACAAAAGCCGCGTTCATTTCATAATTTCAACTACAAGCGGCCGATCCTTTACGATCACCTGCCTAAAATACGGGATCCCTTGTCAGGGTACCACCAACCACGTTGACGGTTGGTCATCAACAGCCCGTACGAAGTACTCATTTCTCTCCGATCCCGACAATGTGGACAGAGTGGGACGGGGCGAGATAGTGTTGCAGTCCGACTGGCTGCTTGCGTATGGAGCAAAGAGAAGAACAAGTCGAGAAGGACAGAATAGGAGGGAACAATTTCACTGGAACAGCCAACATCCCCCATCACTGCGTTTCGGCTGTCTTCTGACAGCGGAGCTTACCCACTGCCTGGAGTCCTGGACTCAGCCAGGCAATGGATACCCTCGTCCCGTACGAACCATGAAGACACTTTTATTCTGCACGACAATAGAATTGTCAGAGACTGAGGGGAGAAAAGTCTGGAGGAGGAAACCCGAATGCGAGAAATCCGAAATCTGCGGCCGAGAGGCTTCTGGTCCTCACTTTGGACCGATCCGTACGGAAACACCTCCTGCTTTCTGCTCTCCTCGGTGCAGGTGAGAGGAGATTTACAACGTGTCCCACCCAAGGCCTGGCCCAGGGCCTCAACCATTGTACAAGCTTCCCATGCTGGGCAGTCTACTTTGACGGCAGCCGATCATGTCCACCACAGAAAGTCAACAAAAACTTTCGTACAGGCTGACTTCCTGTCGTCCTGGACAGAGAGAGGTCTGGCCCATTCAAAAGCCAAAGCGGCCCGCTGACAAAGCGCCTTGAACTCCAAAGGCCAAAGCAACGCTCAAACTAGCAACCAGGGGTTCCCCAGCATCGTCAACCCAACTCTGACAATCCGCCCAGCCCAACACGTGAACTCACAAGGTGTCATTGCCAACACCTGCCCGAGTCCCTTCAGACATTGTCATCGGCCATGTTTGATGTCCGTGGACAGCAAAATGACCCCCGGGCTTATCTGGGGCAGAAGAGAGAAGCAAAACAAAAGTCCACCTCACTCAATCTTCGGACCCGAACAAAGACGATGGAACTAGTTCTTCATAAAAAAAAATCGACTCATCATGGGTTATCCACTGTCGGACCGCGGGGTTTACAACTTCCCGTCCCGCCCTCCGTCACAAACGCCGAGATCATAATTCGATTTCCAACCACTTAGCGACCCCCTTCTCTGTCGCGCAAAGTGCCATACTCCGTAATCAATCACCAAGTACGGAGTATACTATCCGTATGTGATGCGCAATAGACAGCAACGCTGTTTAACGGTCAACCTGAATCACCCCTCGACCCGCGCCATAGCCCGCCTGATATTCCCAAACGTAGCATTATCGCATGAACAGCGCCCTGAGCTTCCCGCGTTTAGTGGAACATGCACTGTGGGTCGCCGCGGCGTGGACTCTCGGGATCGAAGCATATCGTAGGGCGGATACATTCAGATGGTTTTCCGTCGTGTGTTTTGGAAAAGTTTTTTTTTATTTTTCACTCGTCTCTGCTTTTTTCTCGTGGGAGCAACCCTGCTTCATCCTCATCCTACCTGCACCAGTAAGCCTTTACCCGCCAGAGTTGGTTCCTCGTCTATACTACAATCTGGGGGTGTGCGGTTTGTGCGTTGGGTGCGTCTTTGCGCAGACCGTTGGCTTTTGCGCCCTGCCACTTACCAGCCCGCCGCCGCAGATGCAGAACCATCGAAACCACACACCCTCCCCCTGTCACCCCTTGATCGACCAACAAGGATCACGGATGCTCCAGTGGGACCTTTGTCCAGAACCAGAATTGACCAAGACTCTACCAAGTGGCTTAGAGATGAGGGGCGTGACGACGCCTGACCGACTGCTCGCCCGCCTTCTCGGCGGACTTTGAAGATTCGTTTGGTCCGCACCGATTCGAACCTGTTGATCGTTGCGTGTGGTGATGCGATATACGACCAGCAAGCGGCTCATTTCACATGGCAGTAAACCAAAAAGGAGGCCGGTAGTCTACGTTTGGCAACATGGGAGCTTTGTCTAGTCATGCCATGTTGCACCATCGCTGTCATTTCGGCCCCCAAATCTCATGAGAGATGCTGGCACGGCTGCTGAGCTGTACGGTCGATCAAGTCACCAAGTGGGGGCCACCAGAAGCTTGAAGAAAGTATCACGTCGCGTTGGGAATTTGGCAGGCCGCAATCGTGTCAGGAGCTTGTTGTGAAGGTCGCCGATGGGTACGGTGAGGCCATCTTCATCTCCCAATGACTACTACCTGATGCGACACTGACTAGAACAGCGCAGCAGGCTTCTGACAGTTGTCTCCCTGCGGAATTTTAGGCCCTGCAACTGTCTCATTGATGTTCGTCCGTCCCCTTCGGCGGCGGCGAGAAACGACCTTTTACCTTAGTCCGCCGCCGACCTTCCCCCCCTGGAGAGAATTATATGTCGTGACGTGGAGACCCCGTGGCTCATCCCCTTGGCAACTCTGAGCGTCGCATTCGCTCCAAACCCTCCGGGGCGTCGGTCGCAGCGTCGGTAACCCTGAGAGCAACAAAATTGGCATGCTCGCAGGGCAAATTGGGGGGGGGGGGGGGGCGCTGGCTTGACCGACGGAGCTGGCTCCTGGTAAGCAACAAAAACCCAAGATGCTCTTTTAAGATTCTTCTCTGGGCTGCGCTGCGGGCATACCTAGAGACTAGAGAGAGTGTGTAAGCCGAGCGGGCACAGGGCAGGCAAGGCCGCAGGGTGCCCGCTGATACGGTAGCGTAGCATGCCGTCGCCGATTCCAATGGCCGGCCTACTGCGTACATTAGAGAGGGTAATTTTTTGGTAGCAGTTCGTTCCATATCCGGGGATCAGGTCAGGGTAGTGTAGCGTAGTGCCAGCATAGTAGAGTGTGAGACAAGAGACAAGTAGACTTTTTCAGAGTTTCTTGTCACCGTCTTTTTTTCTCTCTTTTTTTTTTTTTTTTTTTTTTTTTTTTGTAGCGTCATGCCCTCCCATAGTTCTACACGCGTGGAAGTCAAAACCTGGGAGGTTACAGCAAGGGGAGGAGGAGGAGGAGCCAGTCGGCAAAACTAGCTAGCTGCAAAAAAAATAAAAAATAAAAAATTACAATGATTTATGACGAGGTTACAGAGTTACTTGGTTTTGGGGCATTCGCCGACCTGAGCTTGAAGAAATGCTCACGGACTCTTGTTTGTCTTACGATTCGAATTAGGAAGAGATTGCACGATCGAAGAACGGCCAAAAAAGAGTTCTGGTGACTCGAAGAGTGGTGCTATTGTGTGTATATCTGTTTTTTTTTGTTTTTTTTTTACATTGGGGGATGGAAGAGGTACTTTGACCTCTCGCCCCCCCCCCCCCCCACGGTTCAGCTTTATGCAAGCTTGTCCTCGTCCCAACTCTCTGAAAGGAGGGGTGGTCGGTGAGATAAACCTTTTCTCTAAAGCTCATCCCAGAGGAAATCACACAAGCAAAAGAAATAGAGTAGACACGAGTTCAGAAAAAAAGTTGATACAATGGTTTCGATTTTTGGTGTCGTTGCAACGTGAAAAATCGTTCGCCTCAATGCTAATAAATCCTTCTTCCTAAAGGCCGTTTCCCGCTCACTATTGCCCCCCAAATACCTTGAACGGTGGCGATTAACCTCATCCGAGTTTGACCAAACAAAACATAAAATCAAACCACCAAAAAAACCGTCAAACGCCTTTTTCTCTCTCTCGCGAGATGTGGGGAGGGTCCTTTCCCAGAAAAAGCAACGCCTTCGCGGTGTATCATTGAAAATCCCATTAATTCGCAAAATCCCATGGCCCCAATGTCTTCTGTGCGCCTGATGGCCGTAGCCCGACCGAAAGCCCCAACTCTATAACTCATAATCCGTACTCGAAATGCTCAGTGGCTGGAATGATGGGGTTACAGTCGCATTGGCTCGCCGTCATAGCCCCCGTAGATCATCGGGTCGCCCATTCCCATCATGACTTCCGGATTCGGACAGTTAAGAACGTGGGGCTTGATGGTGCCGAATTCTGACTCGATCAGGCCTTGGTTAAGCATGTCCATGTTGGTGAGAGCGCCGGGATGTTGGAAGAATTGCTGAGCGAGATCCATTGAAGAGGGTGCTGATTGTCTGGGCATATTCCATTGTTGGTAAGCGTTCATGGGCGGGGACTGATTTTGCTGAAACATGGCGGCGGTGGGATCGATGGGCGAGGCAACCGAGTCTACGTCGAACTCAGTGTATCCGGTAGAGAAGCTTTGCGGAGACATGGTCATGGGGTTGTTGTGGCCGCCAAAGACAGCTTTGCGGTAGTCGGCCTCGAATTCCGAGTGATCAATGTCGGAAGAGCTTGCGCGGTCTGAACGCTCGCAACTTGAGTTAGAATCGACCTCGACCTTCATGGCCTTCTCAACATCGCGTTCCTTTTGCTGTTCCTCCAGTTGGCGCGCCAACTCGGCCAAGCCCGCCTCGTCCTCAGGGAACACCGAGTGAACTGGCAAGTCGATATCGCTGTTCGGGCGGATGCATCCAAGCTTCTGGGCAATGTTGTGGATGACAGGCTGTCCTCTATCGTTGAGCTCGGGTTCACCAAGGTCCCATTGTTGTTGGTTCCTAACCATGGAGTACAACTTATGGACGGTGGCAATGAGGGCGAATTGGGTGTGCTCGAGAACTTCGGCGTAGCCTCTGGGCAGCTGCTTGTATTCCGTCTTCTTGCGAACGCCGGCGGTGCAAACGAGACCATCGTCCTTACACCTTTTGCAGGGGAATTCTCCGTCGCACTAAGTGGAGTCCAAGTCAGGATGGGAGTGACCATGAGGCCGGGTGTGGTGGTGCTGCTTACCTTGGTCTTCTTCATACGACACCTTTCGCAAGCCTTCCATACCCTCTTGTGACGTCCATCGGCAGACATAGCTTGAGAGCTATGATCGTGATGTTGTGTCGCGTTGTGAGGGCTGGCGCGCTTGGCAGTATGGCGGTTGGGCTTGATAGACTTGGAGCTGGAGGAGCTCTTTCTGGGTTTTTGGTCCTCCAAGGGAGGTGTGGGTAGGCCGCTTCCCATTGTGGTGGTGAATGATTACTAGTTAATGGGGTAGTATGTAGTAGTAGTAGTAGTTGTTGTTGTTGTAGTAGTAGTAGGAAGGGAGGATAAGGTGTGGCGATGTGTGGAAGAGGAAGATGTTGTTGATGTAGACCGAGGGGCAAAGTGCGTATAAGTCTGTGGGTGAGGGAGGTGAGAGGCGTGTAAGTGAACTATATAGGATAGCGAGAACGAAGTCGACCCAGTCAAAGGAAGAATAAACCAAAAAGGTAAAAGAGTCGGGATGACACAGCCAAGAGTCCGCGGCGCTAGGGTCAAGAGGGCGGGACAGTAAGCACGGCAAGGTACTGGGATGGAGGGCGTAGACAAATTATTAATGTCGAGCAACAACGGGGAGACGACGGGGAGTAGACGGGGTGCGTCTAATGTGCGCGCGCGAGATTATGTGATGCGCAGGGAAAAGGCCTCGGAAGCTTTTGGGGTTGATAGAGTTCGGTCGCTCGCAATGCTAAGGAGGGCAGAGCAAGCAAGCAGTGGAGGTTGA